TACAGCCACAGCAAGGCCAGGCAGAGCAATTAATGTTCAGCGTACTCTGCAGCTGAATTAGTTTTTTGCTAATTACAATCTGCCCTGTTTCTCCTCTATCTCTATGTGGGGGTGATTACACACACACACACACACACACACACACACACACACACACAAATTCTATTGAATTGTTGAGACTTTGGAAAGAGTGCAGAGAAGAATAACTAAGCAACTAAGACGATTAAGGGCCTGGAGACCAAAACGTATAAAATACAATTGCAGGAATTGGGTATTTCTACTCTAACTAAGAGAAGGACTAGGGGTGACATGATAGCAGTATTCCAGTATTTGAGGGGCAACCCCAAAGAAGAGGGGGTCAACTATTGTCCAAAGCATCTGAAGGCAGGACAAGAAATATCAGATGGAAACTAACCAAGGAGAGAAGCAACTTAGAATTAATTTCCTGACAGTGAGGATAATCAACCAGTGGAACAACTTGTCATCAGAAGTTGTGGGTGCTCCTTCAGTGGAGGCTTTTAAGAAGAGACTGGACAACTATTTGAATTGTTGAGACTTTGGAAAGAGTGCAGAGAAGAACAATTAAGCAATTAAGATGATTAAGGACTTGGAAACCAAAATATATGAAATACAGTTGCAGGAATTGGGTATTTCTACTCTAAGAGAAGGACTAGGGGTGACATGATAGCAGTATTCCAGTATTTGAGGGGCAACCCCAAAGAAGATGGAGGTCAACCTATTGTCCAACGCACCAGAAGGCAGGACAAGAAACATCGGATGGGAACTAACCAAAGAGAGAAGCAACCTAGAACTAATTTCCTGTCAGTGAGGACAATCAACCAATGGAACAACTTGCCTTCAGACGTTGTGGGTGCTCCATCGGTGGAGGCTTTTAAGAAGAGACTGGACAACTACTTGTCTGACATGGTATAGGGTCTCCTGCTTGAACAGGAAGTTGGACTAGAAGACCTCCAAGGTCCCTTCCAGCTCTATTCTGTAAGATTAAATAAGAATTTATCATTATCCTCTTGATGTTATTAATGTGCATTTAATCTCAATTTTAATTCATGCAGTCAGAGTTACAGAACTACTGTAAATGTATGGAAACAATATTTATCCCAGCAGCTGTTAAAAATCTGAGTCCATGGATTAATGTCAGTTTCTAAATGCATGGCGCTTTAGTTAATTCCATCTAAGGAGAGATGATATCCTGTAGGAAGGAATATATTAGCAACTGTCATCCCAAAGGTAGTAAAAGTAGGCCGTGTATTACATAGAGGACTAAAAGGTCATGCCAGGAAGAGCTATTGGTAATAAGTCAATTAATTTTTTTATTTGAATTTTTGACATTTTACACATTTCTGGCTAAGCGTGACAACGGTTTTTCAGTTAGCTAAAGACAGATCCCGGTTTGGTGAAACAGGAGCTATGTCTTGTCCCCCGCAAATCCTTTAAGTGATGAGCAAATGTGGAGTCAGCTATGCTGAGCTAATCCCCTTGGTGGGAGGGACGAGAGAAAGGGAAGTATTTATGCCACTTACTTGACCAAATCGGTGTATTATTTGCGCTGGTGGGCTTTGATGTGGCCTCCGCATTTTAAAGGGTTCCTCTTTGTGCTACATCCAGCCCTTCATTGCAACTCAGCTGGGCCATTGTAAATGCTTTATGGGGAGGTTTGAACTATCTGTTGGGAGCAGATGCTGGGGGGGGGGCAGCTCTTCTGCCAGATGTAGCTCACTGGGGACATATTTTGCCAGTGCCCCAGTCTCTGCTTTCTTTCTGTTCAAAACGTTTACAATAGCCCAGCTGAGTTGCTGTGACCCACGAGGTTTAATGCTACCAAAATCAGGGTGCCACATTGCTGCTCTTCTGATTTATCAAGGGAAACCTGGAATTCTTCTTAGAATGAGTCCCAGAGCTGCTTTTTTATTTTTTATTTGGCTTTTCTTGTTTTTCTTTGAAGACGTTTTGCTTCTCATCCAGGAAGCTTCTTCAGCTGACCTGGATGACTGAGAATCTCCATAGACATTTTTAGAATGAGGTATTGATGCAGAATTATTTATAGTAGGGGTGTCCAACCAGTTGTAAGGCTTGTCATGTCCCCCCTATTTCTTCTTTTCATTAGACTGGCCAAACCCAAGTCCTGCAGCCATTCTTTGTTTGTTTGAGTCTCCAGGCCTTGGGTTATCTTAGCTCAGGGATCTTCAAACTTGGCCCTTTTATGACTTGTGGACTTCAACTCCCAGAATTTCTCAGCCCAGCACGTGTGCCTGGCTGAGGAATTCTGGGAGTTGAAGTCCACAAGTCACAAAAGGACCAAATTTGAAGACCCCTGTCTTAGTTGCTCTTCTCTGAACTTTTTCCAAGGTCTCAACATCTTTTTTGTACTATGGTGACCAAGAAGAGCGAATGGAATGCAGATCAGGAGAACTAGAACGATACCTCAAAATATATTATTTGAGAAAGGCTTGGTTTTATTTTTTTATTTTTTTGTAGTTGTTTTCGCACTGATAGCTAGGTAGAAAGACAGACATAATCTCTAAATCCCAGATCCTGCATAAAGAGTTTGACTTCTCTTTTGCAGCCTTTAGTTTCACTGTCAATTTCATTCTACTTTCCATGCTTGACAACTCCAATAGATTTATGAAGGAAACCCTTTCTGAAAGTCAATTAATCAATCATTTATTGTCAAATAGCAGCTTTCCATTATACAATTTTAGCCATATGTCAGAAGAATAGATCCTGCACATTAATAAAATGTCCATAAATAGTTGCAAAGGAATATTTGGAATAACAAATCAGAATCCCAAACCAGAAAAATATCAGGATTGCAGTAGTAGTGCACATTTTTCTGGATCTTTGTATGACCTTTGTATGACTTTGTATGTTAGTGGGTGAACAAAATTATTTTTCTTCCTTAAATGTTACTTCTAATGTAAGAAAGTAAGAAAGAATAATTTGTCTTATAGAAATCTAGTGATATCTTAGGTGTGAAGAAAAATTAAATATATTTAATGCAAAGATGATGATGATGATTATACATTTCACATTCCAGTGGAAAGTTTTCTTTAAGAAAATGCTTTATTTGGCACTTGAAGGAACTATGTTACCCCTTCAGAACAAAGTGTGTTCTTTAAACGGGATAACAAAATTCACCCCTATGATCTTTCTTCAGACCATATAAATTTAATAAATAAATTTAATCAATCAATGAGTGAAGTCAATGCTTGTTTCTTACTCTTCATGCCATTTTGGGGATTATATGTTTACTTTTTACCATATTGTTGTTGCAGGGAAAATAAAGTCCTCGTTCATTTTAAGTTCTCCTGCTGTTTTGCTAAAATCTCACAGACTAAATAACAATGACTGCAGGAGAAGAGCAGGTACAACTGGGAGGCGGACTTAAGTGTGCCATTAGCTTGGAGTCCTTACGTTGTCACAAATGGTCCAAGTACAAGCCCTCTTGAATTCCATTGACCCTCATCTGGCGCCAATATAATACTGAAGATTAGTTGACTAGATGTCTGTGTAGAGACTTGAGCAATAGTGTAAACCTTTTAAACTGCAATTTGATGCATGGTCCTGATCCTTTGTGCTTGTGATGACTCCCCTGGAGGCTTCCCCAGATACCTGTCTAGATGTCAGCTCAGGGGAGGATGAACCCATTCCAGGCACATCAGGAGGGAAATTGGTCAATGGATCCAAGCAGCTGTCTGAGAGGGATTTGGCTGAAGCTGCAGCAGGACAGCCCTGAGGCTTCAGGTGGGGAAAGCAGGCAGCTACAGCTGGTCAGGGATGAGGAAGAGGAACTGCCTGCTGCACCTGATCTGAGAACATGTAGGGCAGAGAAAAGGCAGGAGCAGAGGAGGGCAGCCCTATTACTCGTGAGGAGGCAGCCTTGTCCCTCTTGATGGGCTGCAACAGAAGCTGGCTGTTTAGCATAGCAGACAGATGGAGGCAATGCTGGGAACAACACGTTTGTTTCTTTGCTGTGTGTTCTTGCCTTGAGCTTTGGATTGTGTCTCTTCAGTTGTTACTTTGTTTTGCCTTGCCTTGTGGACTTACCTTTGCCTTGAGGACTAGTATTGGCTTCATTTGAGTAGCCTGTGGAACTCACTGGGGTTCAGCTGATGCTGGCATGAGGAATTGCTGGGAAATACCAGTTCAGGCTGGGAAGCATTAACAAACACTCATTAACACCCGTGGTATATATTTGTGCGTGAGTGGGACCGCACAGTGCTTGGCAGTCACTGTATACAATCTTTTCCCAACTGCAGCTTATCTTCTGCAAATAGATCTCTCTTTGCAAAGATGTCCTTTTGCCCTCTCCAGCTCTGTTTCAGAAGGACCCACACATTTGCTTGAGTGGAGAAATCCTATCTGTTAATGACACCATGTCATCCCCGTAGAGTCAGATTTGGATACAGCCCTGCGCTTATTGGAAAGAGGGGGGACTTTGTAAGTAGGTGGGCCCTAAGCTGCCCCCTCCAGCACCTGCTTGCCTGTGGGTATTCCATTTCTTTTTTCTATCTCTCAATCAGAGTCTTTTCCTGCGTCCCGTTGCTAGTCATCTGAGAGTAGAGTGCTTTCTTTCCCTCCCAAACAATAATATCAAAGTCGCACCCTTATCCTGATGATGGGAGGATAAAACCCATCATCCTTGTTAAGAGGAAACAGACTCCCTTTCAGAATGAGATGCACGCACCTGCTCTAAGCTAGGCGCAGCAATACGAAATTTATAACTTTAATTTTTCACTCTTTGAATGTCCAGGTGCGGCCGCTACTGTAGATGTCACCCGAGGTCAGTTTAATTAAGATCAGCCCTTTTCTCTTGGCTGAAATCTTCCGAAGGGCTGTCACGGAGGAGTCTCTCACCCTTTTGTCCGGTGCCAGCAGCTGGTGACAGCTTGGCAAATGATGAGTTCCTTGGCTTAAAACAAACTAAATTGCAGACAAAACAAGCCGTCAGCTGAGTAAATAGCACACCTCTCTTTGGCTTCATGGGAAAGGAGGAGATTAGGAAGAGTACTTAGTGTTCATAATTACTAGCAAGAGGCAAAATAGTAGGCCCAGGCTGGCTGGAGATGGTTCCATTATATCCAATTAACACCCACTTGATTGTTCTTAATTGCTTCGGTTTGATGAGAGCAGAGCAGAGACATCATTGCTCGGGATGGCAGATACCACCTGGCCATTTGCTGGTGTTCGAAACCTACCCATGAAGTTGAGAAAAGTTCGTTCCAGAAGGACTGATGAATAATTATGGTGATTTTATAATTTGGTTTTTTTTTTCAGAGCAGTGGGAGAGAGAGAGAGAGAGAGAGAGAGAGAGAGAGAGAGAGAGAGAGAGAGAGAGAGAGACCATTGATATTTTAAAGTCTTTTTTGGGATGGGTTTGATCTTGAATCGGTCAACTGAAACAATTCTCTTGTGTCAACTTCCAGGTTGGGAATCCAAATGACATTCCACTTTGCTGAAAGAGAGTCTGGAAGGAAGGTGTGAGTTATTGGGAACAATTTCTCTGCAAAAATGCAATATGCTTTGTTGAAACCAGCAGTGGTGTGAAGGGAGGAAAATCTTCTTGGTGTTCCTTCCTTGGGTTAGAATAGAATAGAGCTGGAAGGGACCTTGGAAGTCTTCTAGTCCAGCTCCCTGCTCAAGCAGGAGAACCTATACCATCTCAGACAGGTGACTGTCTAGTCTAGGCTCTTCTTAAAAATCTTCAGTGATGGAGCGCCCACAATTTCTAGAGATATTCTCTCCTAAAATGTAAGAGAAAAACAGAGTGGGAGGGGATCTTGGAGGTCTTCTAGTCCAACTCCTGCTCAAGCAGGAGACCCAAGACCATTAGGGCTGTCCACTAAGTCTCTTCTTAAAAGCCTCCAGTGATGGAGCATCCACAACTTCTGTAGGCAAACTGTTTCACTAGTTAATTGTTCTCACCGTCCAGAAATTTCTCCTTAGTTCTAGATTGGATGTCTCTTTAATGATCTTCTTATCCTTCACTTAGTTCTCTCCTTGATTAGTTTCCATCAATAATAAAATAAAATAATAAAATAAAATAGTAGTTCAAAACAATAAGAGCTGTGGCTCTGATGGCCTAATGACTATCATTTGATTCTTGTCTTTCCTTCAAGTACTTTGGAAAATAAGGTTGACCCCTTCCTCTTTGTGGCAGCCCCTCAAATGCTGGAATATTGCTATCATGTCTCCCCTAGTCCTTCTTTTCTCTAGACTGGCCATTCCCAAATCCTGCAACTGTTCTTCTTCATATGTTTTAGTCTCCAGGCCTTTAATCATCTTAGTTGTTCTTGTTTGCATTTTTCCAAACTTACTAAGGCTTTATAAAGTGGTACTAATATGTCACGTGATTTTGATTCTATGCCTCTGTTTATACAACCAAGGATAGTATTATCTTTTTTGGCTGCTGCCGCACATGGCTGGCTCACCTTTAAGGGATTTCAAGAATGTCTGAAAAAGGCTTCTGCCTTCAAGACATTTAAAGCATGTACATCACTAAAAGAAGGATAATCGGAATGTGAATTCTTGACATGTTTGGGAATTACTGATTGTTAAGCCAAGCCCAGAAATGTTACTCCATTCCCCTACAGAGAGGACCTTCCTAAATTGCAACTCATGAGACAAAGTGGTCTGATTTTAATCTGATTTTTTGCTGTTAATAAACAAGGTGGTTGAGGTTGGGGATCTTGTCAAAAGGAAAAAAAAAAGTGAACCTGATAGCATGTAGATTTATTAAGCATCTTAATCTCTCCATAGTTAGGAGACCTATTAAACCAGAACATCCTTAGTGATTAATGGATCCTAGGGGATTTTGTTTGATCTGTCAAAGGGGAGGGGGGGAACTTGATACTTTAGCTCCTAAGTATCCCCTCCTGGAATTCAGATTTTAATTTCCTTGGGTTTTGAGGAAGAGAAAGGATCAAAGGACATGGCTACAAGAATGGAAAGAGGTTTGGGCTGAATCCAAGCGAATATAAGCTTGTTGGATTTATGCTAAAGCATTTTTAGGATCAGAGGGATGTCATCCAGAAGAATTATTTTTTTCTGGTTAACTTACTTAGTTATGTTTTCCTCTCCAAGGGCTATTGAAACCTGTCGCATCAAATTTGCAAAACATTTTGCTTGTAAAATCACTCCTATTCGTTCCAAAACAATTCAGCTACTTTTGATTTTGACTAATTCCTCATTTCAGCAAGTGCATTTTACCAATTCTTCAAACTTGGCTTTAAAAGGTTACAAAAATGTTTACATGCAACTTTAATGCAAATTTATGGGAGATGCACATTTAATGTAGAGCAGTGATCCTCAACCTTTCTAATGCTGTGACCCCATAATACAGTTCCCCATGTTATGGTGACCCCCAAGTGGCTGTGGCCACCAATAAGAGGGAGTAGGACAGCTAGGGAAAAGGGAAAAAAATGGCGGACAGCATGGTTTGGTGACCCCCGTGAAATGGTCATTCGACCCCAACTGGGGTCCCGACCCACAGGTTGAGAACCACTGATGTAGAGTGTTTTCCTTGGGTGTACATTTTTACAATTTTTTTTAACCCCAAAGAAAAATGTACAATTTTTTTGTACGTATGCTGTTCTGAAACGTGCTTTTGAGCGTACTTTTTCTTTCAATGTGTGTTTTGAGCTGATAGCTATTTATGCAGTTGTCCCATATATTCAACAAGTCTGAAATTGCTCATTCATCTAAACATACTGATTACTTGAACTTCTTGTCTATTCTTAACAATGCATTATAATGAAATCCTTAATAGCAGATTTTTATCCAAAATGAACCTTAATATTCTTTCTTGGCTAGAGTTCCCTTAAACACAGGATATTTACTTTTGAGTAGTTATGCGTAGGATCAACATGAAAAATGAAGTAGGTTTTTTTTAAATCTATTGTTGATGTAAAGCTGGACATATTATATGTGTAAAGATGGGCACTGAAACATTTTAGAAATTTTCAGTATCACAAAAGTGAGGGGGAAAAAATTAAAAATGACTAAATGCATTCATTAAGTTGATGTTGGTCTTTTTAAAAATTCAGTTTTTAAGCGTGCATGTATTAACTCTGAGAGGATGATGTGGACATTAAACTAACAGAATGCCATATTTATCTGAAAGTGTGCGCTTTTTTCAGGCAACTCTTGATGGGGAGAGAAAGGGACGTACTTAATTTATATTGGTAGTTTTTTTTTTTTATCCTTTCCTAATTTAAATTACACAGAACCATTTAGGGAGGGTGACATATGTGTGTGTGAGAGAGAGAGTATCTTTCTCCCATCTTTTATCATCGTTACCATTCCTTTAATACCATTCATTTAATGCAACTTGTGACACGCAGGAACATTAATTACAGTTAACAATATAATGTGAAATGCTCCTGGATTGTTTAGTTATTTCTTTCAAGAAGCCAACCCAGTCAAGGAGGTTTCATCTTACCCTGAGCTTGAAGTCAAAGTTCAGAAGTCAGAAATCAAGTAGTCTTGGTTATCAAATTATGTTAATGATTCTAAAGAAAGCTTGGGGTGTTACTCCCCCATTCTATCCTCTTGTTATAGCTACTAACGGGGCAAGGAAAGCTGATAGCCAATTAAAGCTGGCTGCTACTTATGTGCTTCAAATACATGTATACCAGTGTTTCTCAACCTTGACAATTTTAAGGCACGTGGACTTCAACTCCCAGAATTCCACAGCCAGCAATGCTGTGGGGGGTCCACGTGCCTTAAAATTGTCAAGGTTGAGAAACACTGATGTATACAGACAGATACCCTGAAATTTTATCCACAGCTCAAATAAGGGAGCTGAGAACACTTTTTGGTCCGATTGATGCACACAACGAAACTTATTTTATGTATAGTTACGGCAACTGGAGAGAAAAAAAAAAAACAGCAGGAAAGCTCAATTTATATCTAATAGTTGTATCTGCATCTGAATGATTAATGAATAATTGAAGAAGCCAATTCTAGAGAGATTCCTGACCAGGATATGAAGCCATGTGAATGTATAAATACTTCCCTTCTTTCTGAAATAGTCCCAGATAATAGGAACGACAGCCGCAAAGACAACAGACGAGGAACAAAAGAGAACCAGCCAGGGAATTGGCCTACAATAATGAGAAATTGTTTCATAATTTCTAATCAGGGGTAAATTCCCAGGGCAACCTTCACTAAATGTTTGGGAAGCATGAAAAGTGGCAAACTCTGCTAAACTTCCATTATCGTGAAAGCAATCATTTTGGTTCTATTTGCATTTAATAAGTTTCTTCCCTATATTTCTCATTGGGCAGCTCAGTTGTTTTTTTTTTTTTTTAGAAAAAGGCAGTGTGTGCTTTTAAAATGAAATTAAGATCATGACTAAATATGCCCATTAAAAATCTTGAGAGGTAACTTATGAATTTGGGGGAGGTGATGAGTTAAAGAAGTGATTTTCAAACTTGGAAAGTTTAAGATGCGTGGATTTCAACTCCCAGAATTCCTGCTCATTGGGGAATTCTGGAAACTGAAGTTCACTGCTCTTAAAGCTGTCATGTTTGGAAGGAATAGGATAGGATAGGATAGGATAGGATAGGATAGGATAGGACAGGACAGGACAGGACAGAGTAGAATACGGAATGCCTTTCTCATGATGTGCTCTGCATATAAGTTAAATAGGCAGGGCGACAGTATACAGCCTTGCCGGACTCCTTTTCCAATTTTGAACCAATCCGTGGTTCCGTGTCCAGTTCCCACTGTTGCTTCTTGACCCGCATATAGGTTTCTCAAGAGACAAATAAGATGGTCTGGTATTCCCAGAACTAATATAATATAATATAATATAATATAATATAATATAATATAATATAATATAATATAATATAATATAATATAATAATATAATATTAATAGTAAAGTTGGAAGGGACCTTGGAGGTCATCTAGTCCAACCCCCTGCTCAGGGAGGAAACCCTATACCATTTCGGACAAATGGCTGTCCAGTCTCTTCTTAAAAAGTTCCAGTATTGGAGCATTCACTGCTTCTGGAGGCAGGTTGTTCCACTGATTAATTGTTCTCACTGTCAGGAAGTTTCTCCGTAGTTCTAGGTTGCTTCTCTCTTTAATTATAATATATAATACTATACTATACTATACTATACTATACTATACTATACTATACTATACTATACTATACTATACTATACTATACTATACTATACTATACTACAATACAATACAATACAATACAATACAATACAATACAATAACAAAAATATAATAGAAAATATTTTAAAAAAATATTATAATAGAATAGAATAGAACAGAACAAAACACAATGCAAAATGGAATGGAACGGAACAGAACACAACAGAATAGAATGAGTTGGAAGCGACCATAGAGGTCTTCTAGTCCAGCCCCCTGCTCAGGCAGAAAACCCTGCCTAGACCATTTCAGACAAATGGCTGTCCAATCTCTTCTTAAAAACTTCCAGTGTTGGAGCATTCACA